CCTGTGGGGGCGGTGTTATGATCTGGGGTTGCAGCAGTTGCTCAGGTCTAGGTTCAGCAACAGTATGAGCTCAAAGAATGAGGTCAACTGACTACCTGAATATACTGAATGACCAGGTTATTCCATCAATGGACTTTTTCTTCACTGATGGCACAGGCATATTCCAAGATGGCAATGCCAGGATTCATCAGGCTCAAATTGTGAAAGACTGGTTCATCCTCCTGCACACAGATGCAAATCAAATAGCCACCACTCGTTCTTCTGTGTTGTTGGAGCCTTTTTGAGTTGTGGGCAATATGGCTGGTCTTTAGAATCATAATAGGAGTGCTTAAGTTATTGTAGTGGAAAAAGTTCCATGACTGAATCCTAAATGCTTAAAGTAAGCTTGTATGAGCGATGCAAACTGCAACTTTTTTTATTTTTTCAGTGTCCTGTCTGGCAATGTGACAATAAGAATAATTGTCTTGATGCCAAAAAGAGCCCAACACATTTTGCTTTCACAAATGGACCCTAGGCAGAAGTTCAACTAAAGAAACTCATTGCTCTCCTACATCCACCTGCGTTACAGCCAATCAGCTTTGAACCACACCTCCACGAAAGCCAATCGGCATCCAAAGTTCATCTTGAAAGGCCTCCGATCCACTCTTTCTGCTCCTATGCAGGCAGTGGATACGCTGGGACTTCATTCAGATGACACCGTTTCAACCCACCTCCAGCCCCTCCTCCACCATCATAGCTAAAGCTTCATCAGAATGTAATTTCTCCTTGACGCCTACTGCATTCCCTGTCTCATTTCAACCGGCAGAAGACCGCCATGTTGAGCCTGGTTCTGCCAGAGGTTTCTTCCCAACGAGGAGTTTTTCCTCTCCACTGTCACTTCATGCTTGTTCATCATGGACAGGTTCTCTCATCCTGTGTTTTCCAACTGGACTTCCATCTTCCAGGTCCCTGAATGAAGCTCTAGTATCAGCTCTTGAAGTCCACTGGATCTCCCCATAAAGCTGAGCAGACCGTCTCTCTAACCAGCAGTCTACAGACTGACCAACTTCACCTATCTCCACTCCACCACTAGTTTCAGGCCGCATGGCTATCAAAATTAAGTGCTATGTTTCCTGCCGAGGTCTGAGCACCAAAGACTAAATAATTGTATCAATACATTTCTTCTACTTGTCTTTTCTTTTCGTGTGAGTTTTTCAGATTGAAGTGGAGCAGTATGGCTATTGCCATAGTGTTCTGCTTGATTTATGCATGTAAATAGCTCTATTATAATTAAAGCAGGGAGTATTTCAGAATATATGCAATGGGAAAGTAGAACAGGGAAGGACAAACAGGAAAAAGGAGAAAAGATGAAAGAAAGAGGAGATAAAAGGGAGATAATGATAAAACCTCATGAGTCAGCTTCATCACCTGCAAAGAGATGTAAAAGAACAGAACAAATGGATATAGTATAACAGATACATTAAAGTAACAACTTGATACTATCGTTGAAGTAGTATTATTTAATCTGACATGTATACTGTGGCAGCTGAAGATCAGAATATGGGCTTTCTGTATGGATGTGAATCTCTAAGTACCTGGAGCCAAGCAGCTGTAGATATTTGTGAGAGTGTACTTGTGCATGTAAAGTTTATCTAAAGAAAAAATGCTCAATAGTGGTTGTGGAGAGCCGAAGAAGCGCTCCCCCAGAGCACTGAGGCAGGCACCAGGGGACCCAAAACCCTAGGTGCCCAAAGGGATCCCCCGAGCAAAGGCGCCCAAAAGGGTCCAACCCCGGAAATCTGCTCCTCAACCAAGGGAATAGGAGAGATGGCCCCGAGGAAACCCCCCAGCCCCTGCAATGCCAAAGCCCCGAGGATCCATGGGAACAAGCCCGTGGGCTCCGCCGGCAGCAAGCTACCCTGAAGTGGAACCGGCCATTGGCCCCAGGGACCCGAGGCCCCAGGGGCGCCGTGCCAGGAATAAGCCATCATCCAGGCATTCATCCCTAAACACCTAACACCCCCAAAGCACCGGCGGGCCAAGGCGCCAGCCGGTGGAGGAAGGCAGGAGGGGGGGAATGGGCTCCACACTGATGATCAGTAGGTGAACGCTTAATCCAGATGGGGGGAGATGAGTGGTGTCACAATTGTACCCATTTAGTTCCTGCTTTGGTTCCGACCCCCCATCCCCATATGGGCCAAACAAACAGAACCTCCCTCCCCCCCATAAGTCACAGATCATACTGCTATCTGGTCCTACCTCCTTTCAAACTGCCAGCATTACTGTGATTGGTGACTGCAGACTCACTTTTAGGATGCTTTAAGTGTCCTTACTCATTTGAGCTATTCTGACTGAGCCTGATAACTAATTTGATGCAAGGGGCTGAACCTGGAATTACAGATCTGTCTTACCACCAGTGTCTCAAAGTTACACAGCATTGCTTCAAATATGCATCAAAAGTGCTTAAAAACAGACAAGTCTACAGTTTAGTCAAAACATTACATTTTTATTTATATATTTGTTTTTTTAATGAAAAAAACATGATCAAAAATGATAAAAAGGCGTTATATTCTTCCTGATAAATCTACTTTACATGTATGTTTTAAGCCTTTTTTATGTCAAGAGACTTTTTACTAGTTTAGTAATTTTCTCGTTAAAACAACTGGATCAGATCAGATTTGAAAGAAAAACTGCATTTAAAACTTGATAAACTTGAGTTTTACCAAGAAACATTAAAAGTACAAAGAAATGTGCTCCCAAAACATCCTGTTTTAAGGATCTTTAAGGCAGTGCTTTGTGGTTGATATACTGATACCAACAAGATTTAAACAATAATACATTAAACTGTTTCTACTTTGATATGTTTAAATGTGAACACTTCATGAAATGGTTTATAAGCAAAACGCTTTCTCAAAAACAGTCCCAAAATTTAGAGAGTCAGGAAAAAAACCTAAGAGATTCAATCAGGCATAAATGTTTGTCATCGTTATCTTTGCTGCAACATCTGATGGAACCTATTAATTGCATCTACAAGGTCTGAAGGTACGGAGTAAATTTTATTTCAATATTGTTTCAAGCAAAGAATGTGCTTTATAAATGGATTTTCTATACAATGTGTCAAGTGTTTTTTTTTTATTTTCCAGATTCCGTTTTACGAATTTCTTTTGAAAGTTTCACAGATCACATTCACTTCACTGCAAGCCAAAAACAAACGCTAGCTCCTAACATATAAACATACTGTTGCTAACGTTCTTATAGACCAATAGAAATTATTCTTTACTCCTCATTCCAGAGGAAAGACCATCATAGAAGTGAAGAAAATCTTATATGTAAAATGCAATTTTGAAAAGAATGCAAGTGTATGTGAAAACAGAAATTTGAAAAAATAAATAAAAAAAATAACATAAAGTGAGGAAATAATTAAATCTGAAATGATCTGGTTGAATTGTCTCTGTTAAGTGTGAACTGATGCTATAGAAATAACCTGAAATAAATTAAATATGAAAACAGTGAAAATAAATCTTAGGAAAAAGCAATTACTGTCATATCCTTTTTTCTTTAAGTTTCATGTCTGGTTTGTGTTTTCTTTTTATATTTCAGTCCACAAAATGTCTTTTTTTACTTCCAATAATAATAATTCCCCTCATCCAGAGTCTGTAAGTGAGCACTGAGTTCAAACTTCAAAACTTTATTCAGACGATATAAATCAGACATGATCAAACCCCACACCACTTTCTGCAGTCTCTAAAGTGTCTTCTGAAATTTAGATGCAAAAACAAAAGGAATCCAGGAGACTAATTGTTTTTTATTTGCTCGAAACATATAAATCCCAAAACCATTTTAGTTTTAATCTGACATTCTGGAGGCAGAGTTTAACAAAAAAAAAAACAAAACAAAAAAAACAAACATAAGAATTGCACAGAACACCATCCAAAGAGATCAAACTTCAGGCTAACACATCTCTTCTGATAAATGCGAGCAACACAAGCAACCAGAGTGACTAAAAACTGTGATAGACATTCAATTTTAAGAGTTAGGTTAAGAAAACAGTAATCTCAATAAGTGATCTCATAAAATGATTTTTTAAAAATACAGTAAAAGTTTCTGAAGCTGTTTATGTTTCTGACAGCTAACGGCAGGAAGAGGACTTTAGAGTCAGCAGCAACTCCTATATATATATATAAATAAATATATATACGCACACATACACATTCATACATTTATATATTTTTATATATAAAATATATTATACATTTATATATTTATATACATTTATATACATTTATATATATATATATATATATAAAATATATAAATGTATAATATATTTTATATATAAAAATATATAAATGTATGAATGTGTATGTGTGCGTATATATATATATATATATATATATATATATATATATATATATATATGTATATATATATATATATATACATATACACAAACACACACACACACACACAGTCAACTCAAACTTTTAAAACAACCGGGGTTGATCAAAGTGCTGTACAGGAATCACAGTTAATGAACATAAGATAAAAACTGATGGCTAAAATACATAAACCCAATACAAAAAGAGAATAAAATATAATAGGATAAATGTTTCAATTAAAATACATGTTTAAATTAAATAAAATTTTGCCAAATGTCCACTTAGACTATACATATATATATATATGTCATTAAAATCCACTGAATAGTTGCAGAGTTTGAGACAAAAATCCATATGATTAACAAAATATAATACTGACAAATGTTTGCTCTTATACACAAACGTATATACATATATATACACACACACACACACACACACATACGAATATATATATATATATATACACATATGCATATATATTCATATACACACATTGATATATATATATATATATATATATATATATATATATATATATATCAATCAATGTGTAATTTTGGCATGAACATTCAGAGTTTTAATATGTCTAAATGTTTTTAAAAAAGTCTTAACTAAGGTCTGATCAGAGAGTCATACCTATTTTTTATTTATTTATTAAGGAATGATTTCCTTACAGGAGTTAAAGGTGCATCTACTGGTAACAAGCAGTAAGGGTACAGGTGGCACAGTCGGGCGTGAGCAAACCAACCATATATATGAAAGTCACAGAAAAACAAAACAAACAGCTTTAAGTGCCATAACAGAATAAAAAGATAAAATATCATCTAAAGCAATTCACACCCAATCAATGCAGTAACAGGGGACAATGGCATGAAAGACTCTTTCTGCCAGTATAGAAATCAGTCATCAGGCTCCATGGAGACATTTTAGGAGCAGCTGCTCCTTATAGACCAAAGCAGGCTAAATCCAGACAGTGGAGATCTAAGAGAGGCTTATTTAAAAATGGTGAAGCTATTAGTTAGGCTGATATGGAGTGATATTTGTTCCATTATTGCTGCAGGCAAAGAGCAGAGTTTGTAAAGTTAAGTTTGAAAGAAAAAAAATGAAACCCCCCCCCCAAAAAAAGCTGTTTTTTCCCGATTTTTAATTCAAAATTACTTGTTTTTCAAAGTTTTCTATGGTTGAATTATTTTACAGACAGCTATATTTTCAAATCTCGTTCTACCAATCAAATTTTCTTTACTTCTGGGGGCAGGCTTTCCTCTGCAGTGGGAGCGAGGACGCTATTGGTCTGCATGGACCTCAGCAACATTTTTATTGGTCAAGAGCGTGTGTTTGTAAGCGGCTAAAAAGAATGTAATTCATTAAAACAATCTGAAAAAGAAGAGTTGAAAAAAAATATTTTTGAAATATAAGATTTGTAAAAATGTATTTTAAAACAAAATTTTGACAAAAATACGTAAAAATATATATATATATAACGGCAAAATTTCAGTTTCATTTCTGGATTGGATTTTTTTTTTTTCAAATTTTCCAATTTGCAAAACTTGTTCTTAGTTTACAACATTACTGGAACAAAATTCCCTCCATACAGCAGGAGCCAGAAACTAAGTTTAGATGTTTTCTAGTTGAAAATGCAAAAGTTCTTTTCCACTGTTTGGTACAGAATAGAGCTTTGGGTGTTAATGTAAACAGAGTGTGAAGGTTTGAAAACCTGTGAACACTATTAAAAGCTGAACAGTTTCAACAATGCTGCACCATCACAGCTTTGTTTCCCAAAGCAGACCATGGATTCAGAGTAATATCTGCTGCAGAGCAAACGGATCAAACTATAGAGGTACAAATTATCCTGTTCAAATAAATCTACTAATCTTGAACCAATGCATCTGACTGCAGTTACAGATTCCCACTGCTGTCATGAAGAGAAGCTAAAGGCTCACATCCTGTAACAAAACGTTTTAGTTTATGTTTGAAATTGAGCCTTAATCCAGTAACATCATGACCGACTGAAGGAGAGATATGCAGCTTTGTTATACTGCCATCTGCTGGCGGCCATGCTTCATTAGGAGATAAAATATAAAGACAAAACTTCCCTCTGCCTAGTTTCATCATGGCCTTCGAGTTGTTTTTAATTATAATTCACTAAATAAATACAGGAAATACTGAAAATGGAGGTCCGTCTGGTGGAATGGATCCACAAATCGGCTCAACATGAGGAACTTCTCTAAGACAGAAGAAAGATGGTGGTTCCGGTTTCAGGAGGACCCGGGAAGCCACCAAAACACAAATCAGAGCCAATAAAACCTCACAACAAACATCTGCATTATTTTCCGTCCAGAAAGCAGCAGGTGCTGTTCAATCATCTTCACATTGTGCCTTCAGGATGCCTTATTTCATCAGCTGTGTTCTACCGAAACAGGACAGCATTTCCTCTGTGTGGCTCTCTGCTGATCTGAGAGTTTTAAAGCACCACAGCTCAGCTGCAGAGATTTAAGAGTCAGAAAGAGAGAGTGAAGGAAGCCCTGGCAGAAAGTTTTCAGCTCTTCCTGTTGAACGGCAGCCAGTCGGACCTTTAGTCCAGGTTAGGAGGTCAGATGGACAGATCGGTGTCTGTGTCTGTCGGCGTGGTCTTTGGGCTCACGCTGCTGCCTCCCCGCTCCTCAGGGATGGAGGACGAGTCGCCATTCAGAGCAGGAAGCAAACCTAAAAAACAGAAGTAAAGAGAAACTTCATTTTTAAGATTTTTCTTTTTGCTTATTTTTATTTCTATTTCTTTTGCATCCTTTTCATTATTGTGTTTAACGGGTCAGGTTCATTTAAAGCCCAGAATAACCGACAAAATGTGGTTGCTAACATCCAGCATACAAACAGAAATAAGTCTTCACTCCTCATTTCAGAGGTAATCCCTCCCCCAGAAGAGAAAATAATTTGATCTCAAAATTGTGCAAAAGAATCTGAAAAAAGAGAAATAATAATAATTAAAAAAAAAGAGTTTTGTCGAGTTGTTTTTCATTGTTTAAGGTTTTGCCTTTAAATGATCAGAAAAAACCAGGAGATCACGTTTCTTCTAAAGGGCTGGTTATACTCCCGCTGCAGTGTGTCGCAGTGAGCTTGATGCAGAAATTTTTTGATTTATGCTCAATATTGAAGCGTGGTCTGCGCTACACGCTGTGGGTCTAGATACGGTCGAGGCGGAGAGGAAGTGGGGGCGAGTTTAGACATGAGGGGCAAAAAGAGCGGAGATCCAGGTGGAAAAAGGGTCCCAGCGTTCTTGCACACCTCGCTCTTCTAGCTGGTCTAACTTCACGAGTTGTTTTCCACAATGGCTGTCAAATAAACAAGCCGGCCTCCTGTCTGCGGTCGGCTACAATTTGGGGAAGGCGCAGCGGAGCGTCTGCGGAGGAGGCGGGGAAGTCTCTGTGTTCACTGTGACACCTACGCAAACAACCTAGTTTGGAAGTATAAATCAGCCTTAAGGCGATTTTAAGTCATATAAACAGGGTAAAGGGATGTTTGTAGCTTGTTAAAGTCTTGACTTGACTGACTTGACTTAACTGAACCAAACTCTTGGTTTCTGTTACATGTTTGTCTTGCTATGCTTGCATTCTCCTTGCCCCTCTGAAGGTCATCTTCCTGAAGGGATTTCTGCAGATAAAGCAAAGTCTGTTTCTAACATTTGTTTCTCCTAAATATTGCTGCACTTCTTCTGTTCTTGGGTATAAAAGACACCTGTTAACCCTGTAGATACCTAAATAAAGCAGCCGCAGTGCGTTTTACCATAACAGCTTGGATAAACAGGATTTTTTTTCCTAGTGCAGCAACAATTTTATCCCAGTTTCCTTCCCGCTCTTAAGGATTGGAGCCACTAAACCTGGAACATTTGGAACATGAAGCATTCACACACTGATAAGGTCATAAATAATTTGACATAAAGGCCAGGTCTTACATTCGGTCTCGTAGACACAGCTGTCTGAGGATGTCCGATGTCTGCGCTGATCTGACCTCTGACCTCCACTCACGTACTCCTTTAGCAAACCTGACCTAAAGGGTGACAGAGGGTCCTTAACACATTCAATCAACCAGATTTGACAAAATACCTATTAAGTAGTTGTACTGTATGGAGGATAAAAATGGGATCAAATAAAATACATAAAGTGGCATGAAATAATAAAATGATCCTTTCATTTTTTATACACCATTAAACAATTAAATGTACCTTCAAATAATTATTTATTTTTTATTTTTTCCTGCTGCTGCTCTCTTAAGAGTTTTATTTAGCTGACAATAGATGTTTGGACAGGAAAAACTGTAGACCTCTGGAGAAACCAAAAACATGGATATACGCTCAAGGTTTTTATTTTGTTTTCTTTCGTGCAGCAGACTAACTTTAAAAGGAAGAGGCAAAAAGGTGAACTGACCTGTCAAAGCTGTACGTTCCAGGGTGGCTGATGGACCGCTTCATCTGTCCAGATTGAGACAATAAGAGGTTTTAATCATCTACACTGATACAATCTGAAAACATTCAGCAGCTCAGCAAACGGCTTGTTTTTAAATCCCGTCTTTTCACACAAGAGTCTGAACCCAGAAAAACAGTTGTTTAATAGTTGCAGGTTTTCATTTTTTCTTTTATATTTTTTGTCAAAAAAAAAAAAAGAGAGAAAATAGGAACACAACTGATTTAAGTTGATAAGCCTACAACCTTCCTGTCTGATATAGTAGATTAGACTGATTATGGATAAGTTGAAAGTGGCTTAAAGAGAAACAAGCTTACCCTTTCAGGGGGTCGGATGTCAGGGGTCAAACTCTGGTTGGCCAGGCTCATGCATTCCTCCAAAGTCCTGATGAACGTCTCACAGGTGGCACTGAGCAGGGAGGCCTGAACAGAGGAGGACCAAACCAGATCATTGAGGAACAGTATCATCCACTGGGTAGGAGGTGAGGTTCCAAATACAAAATTAGACCCTATTAGAACTATGTGGGCCTGAAAATATGCAGAAAATTCAATCAAGAGCTTCACAGTAATCAAGTCTCAATGAAAAGATTTGGTACCCGGCAATAGCGTGCTTTCTCTAAGCAATATTGACAGAGCTATCCTGCAGTACCTTCACCACCCACTAGAGGGGAATTGCAGCCCCAAGTAGAAGAACCATTATATGCAGGATATTACAAAGAGAATGGCTCTGTTCGAAAACCTGGGCTGCATCCTCCAAGGACGCGGTCTACCTAGACTGGATCCTTCGAAGGCCTTGAAAATAAGGAGGCCGGAAGAGTTTTGGCTGTGAATTCAACCAGGTCTACCCTTCGGCGGGTTTTACTGCCGTATGCTCTGTTGCTTAGCAACCGTAAAAGTTGACACACAAAGCAGGAAAAGAATCTATACCGAGGTTTTCAAAACTGTTTGTTTATTTATGTTTATTTATTTTTTTAAAAGTTAAAGTGAACAAAGACTACACTCACAAGAATCCAGAGTGGAATAAAGGTTCCAACCACCGGGAGCAGGAACAAATAAAATCTAATGTAATGATAGAAACCTTAGTCAGTTATATAACCTGCTGCTGTCATTCTGCACATCTCTGATGTTGCTGCTATTTTCAAATATCCATTACTGTAAAAATGTCCATAGCTGTATATTGATTATTTATTCTCCAGTTTTATATTGTTAAAGCACTTTACAGGATTTTATTTTTTATATTTTAACTCTTCCCTATTATGTTATTCTTATACATTTCTCTAAGGTCCACATTTGTGTGACCATTTTCAATAATCTTTCTGCTGCTGTAAATTTGCCCATTGTGGGAAAATAAAGGGATTTTCTATTCTATTCTATAAAAGGGGTAGAAATATATAAGTAAATCTAAACAATGTATTTATAAAAAATATATCTGCAAAATCTCTAATATTCAACAACAAAAAATACTTAGTTAAGCATATTGTGCAAAACAGCAATAAAAAGATTAAACTCACCCACCCTGCAGATATAATTAGAATCTGTCCTTAAATTCCAGCCAAACCCATTTACACGGTAACAGATAAAAACCTTTAGATAAATCAAACATTACCGCCACATATCTGACTCAATAACCATTAAAACAACTATTTTCATTCATCTCAGACGGAACTATTCACTGACTTGTATTATATTAAACTGAACTTCCAATTTTAACCACTGTTCGGCGCCAAGTAACATTTACTCTGATCACAGCTTGCTTGGTCTCGCAATGAATCCTGGGAAATCCAAGGATACCGAAGATACATCGGACCCGTCCTTCGAATCGGGCAAAAAGAAGGACGCATTTTAAGGCAGCATAACGAGGACTCTTGGAATCCGACCAGACCTCGGCGCCGCGCTATGACGTAATCGGCCTTCGAATCCGGTCTTCTAAGGATGCGTCCTAGGTTTTCGAACAGAGCCAATATTTCTGTGCTGCATTTGCCCCTCATAAAATGTTGGAGTATGCTCCACCTAGAGAACATCAAGAGTGCAACAGAAGAAAAGTAATATTTTAGAGCAAAAATTTAACTATTGCATTAGCTGTGCTTTGGTGGCGCAGTGGTTAGTGCACACGACCCATGTATGGAGGCCTTAATACTCGACACTGCCGACCCCGGTTTGAATCCAACCTGCGGTACTTTGCTGCATGTCTCTCCCACTCTCTCATACCCCCTTTCCTGTCAACCTACTGTCCATAAAAATGAACCACGAGGGCTGTAAAACTCAAAAAAAGAAAAAGAAAATTTGCATTATACATTATGAAGGGCAAAAAATATGCAATTTAAGGTTAAGATCAACAAAGCCACAAAAGGATTCTGCACCAATAGGAATAGTAGAAGTAGAAGTCATGTGAGATTTCAGCCCAAAGAGGAGTTAAACTTGCATCTGTCAGCTTTCAGTAAAATGGTAAATGTTTACTGAGATTGTCATTGTATAGCAGATATACAATGATAAACATTTATATTAACAGCAGTACATCATTAGGTTTTAATACAAATAGGTTAATTTATTTCCTTTGTTTACCTCTGAAGTGGGCGGGGTCTCTATATCTGCAGTGTGTTGAGACTGGATCGTCTGGACCTGCTGGACGAGGAGGTCGCAGTACAAACGAAGTTCAGACATCTTGGTTTTCAGGCAGTCAGAGCCTGGTGACGCAAACAAATTTGGAACAGAAGGTTTATTCAGTTTCTTTTTTCATAAAACAAGACACCATGTGCAGTTTTTTTTTCACCTCTGTGTTTGTGGCTTTCCAGAGTCCCAGCTTTTGAAGAACCCAAAGCCACCAGCCACCTCTGTCGCTCTGCTGCATTGACAGCTCGCACGTAGAAATGCTGCTCGCCGGGAATAATCAGTTCCAGGCGAGTGGAGTCAGTGGGATGAACTGTGACATAAACAGGACAGCGGCATGTGATGGACACCTCTGCTTGCACGGTAAAGTGACTGGGAATGGATGCATGTGAACCAACCTTTAATGTCACAGACAGACATCTTGATGGATCCTTTGCTGCCTTTACCAACGTCATCCTCGCTGTCGTAGTACGAGATGACCCCATCTTCCAGGACAAACCAGCGAGGCTGCCAGCCTGAGGACAGAAAACCCAGGCAGCATATCTATGGAGCCAGTTTTCTTCCATCATTGCTTCCAGCAAAGAACACATTATGTAGATGGAAATTTAAACAACTTTCTAATAAAATAAAAAAGGGTTTGAGCAACTTTTCATGATTTACATATACACACACATATATATATATATATATATATATATATTAGGGCTGCAACAACGAATCGATAAAATCGATAAAAATCGACTTTTAAAAGCGTTGGCAACGAATTTCATCATCGATTAGTTGAGTCGCGCGATTAATGCGTCATCCGCCGCCGCCGTCATCACATCCACTTGACTGAAACGGGGGAAGAAAAAAAAAATATGGCGGAGCGAGTCAGCGCCGCAGTTGCAGTGTTGCCAACTCAGCGACTTTTCAGACCCCTCCAGCGACTATTTTTCAAAAAAGCGACTAGCGACAAATCTGGCGACTTTTGGAGACTCTTACGTGAAAGCATGTATCGTTCCTACTCTGCCGTGGGGCGCCTCCCCCATCCCAACCCCGTTCTCCCGCAGGACTCCCTCTCAGCGCTGCAGTCAGAGCCGCAGGATTTTTACCCTAAGCGTCCAGACTGCAAATAAAGCGTGCATGCGCCGGGATTGACGGCGCAAATTGATCACAATAATTAAAATAGCCTGCGCTTTGTAAAGTGAAAAAAGTCGTAACATGCAACTTTTGTCAAAACAAATGAACATGGCACGGAACCACCATGTTAGTTTGGTTTTAAAGAGGGGAAACGTAACGTTAGTTTCTCAGGTAGCTCATCTGATGCTTTCCTTACCGTGTTAGTAGCTTACAGACAGTGATAAGGTTGGCTACTTATTTTACTTTTAATTTCATTTGTTTTAACTTAAGCAGCGTTTATATTTACTTTATAAATAAATTAACTTGCAAATTATGAGGGCAAGGCTTTTAAAGTTTAAATCTTCTGGCAAAGATAAAGTAAAGATCGTGCAATTTATGGAAGTAAAGCAGAATAAAATCCAGCAAGATCAGTAATATGTCAATTAATTATCTGCCACATTCCCATGTAAATATCTATCTTTGGAGGATGTGTTTTTTAGCACCCCTAGTTCTCTCATTTTTATTCCAAATACAATTTATAATTTGAATCACAGGGCTATTTTTATCTCTATGGTTCAGTATTTTCTCAAGTAGCAACTTTAACTGCTATACTTTCCTGTCTTAAAAGGCAGAACTCTTCTAGTCTAAAAAAACTCATTTGTTGAAATGGGGGGGCCTATTGTTTGAACCCCTTAGAGGCTTTTAAAAACAAAAATGTCTTTTTATGCACTTTATGAAACAAAGAACCCCAAAGTTTGTGGATGTACAGCTACATTTCTCATGTTTCTCAAGTTTGTGTAGTTTTAACACAAACATTTATTTTTCATATTGCACCAGTACAGTTAATGAGCAACCTGTACTCGTGTGCTTGTTTGTTCTGTCTAAAATGTTTATTTTGGAATAAAGAGGTTAATATAAAAAATAATTTTTGTCCGATTCATCGATTAATCGAAAAAATAATCGGCCGGTTCATCGATTTTTAAAATAATCGTTAGTTGCAGCCCTACTTCTACACCAAACCAAGCTTCTGCCGCCCTGGCGTCCTCTTCCACAACATCTTCATCCCCGCTTTCCTCCTCTAAATAAAAAATGGATGACGGAGGAGACTCATCCACGACCTCCCACACTAAACTCTCCTCCTCTTGCATGTTTCCTCTGTCCATATGGTTCCTTGACAGTGTCGTTTCTAAGTCACCAATTTAGTGCTACTTGGTTTCAATGGAATTTCCAATTGGGAACCTACTAGCACTAAGTTGCTAACTGGTTAGCAAGATGCGTCAGACAAACCGGCCACAACGAAACTTGCTCTCGAACCTTCTGCCACAACAATCCCGCCCCCTTGATAAACGACCTGTCACATTCACTTTATTCAATCGTGTAAAGTCGTGCACCACTCGGGAGAATTCGGAAATGCGACGGTTGGAACAGCCGCTTCCCTACAACTTTAAAAAGAACTGTAAGAAGAGGGACAAAGGAAGCCGAAGTAGCCCTGCAAGGTTGTTTTGAGGCTACAGACATGCACTGTGTCAACCACATGGAGAGCACATCAACGCAATGAGTGTATGACCAACTACATAACCTTCTGTGCAGATAAACCATCCCTACCAGAACTGTGAAAGGTTTTCAAATGGATAAATTATGGATCACAAGTGATCAACATGAAAACCAAGCCTTTAAGGAATTAATGAGAGTATACAGAAGTAGCTTAAGGCCAAGATAAGAGAAAGCAGGAAGCATACCGGAAAAGGACGGAAAACAAGTTCCAGTCGAACAATATCAGAGATGTGTAGTCAGGGATGAATATGACCAATGGACAGAATAGATTAAACAGGTTCAGTTCAGGATCAAGCTCAGCATCCTTCTCTCCTGCACAGTCCCATAGACATCCTGTCCTCCTCTGCCATTGATTCTCCAGTTTGTTGTCAGCCAAATCAGAAGATGCTATTGTTCCCTTCACCCATCACATGTCTATCTCTAGATGTCAAGCAAAAAGGAAACTGGAGATACCGAATTTTAATAAGTCAGCAGGTCCTGATGGTGAGATGTCCAGAGTCCTAAAGGCCTTTGCAGAGCAGTTCTGTGGGATTCTACAGCACCAATTCACCCTTAGTCTGATCCTGGAGACACTTCCAGTGATGTGGAAGACCTCCTGCCTTGTTCCAGTGCCACAAAAGTCTAAGCCAACAGTTCTCAGTGAGTATAGACCAGTTTTCCTGACATCCCACATCATGAAGGTCCAAGAGAGACTTCTGTTTTTTAACGTCAGCAAGCAAATAAGCAGCTATAAGGACCCCTGGAGTTTGCTAATCACCGTGGAGTACGTATTGAAGATGCCATCTTGTACTCCATTTACACTTCCCTCTGAAAACCAAACCGTGCCGAGTTCACACCGAGATTGGATCAGTTAACTGTACCTAGCACGGCTCCTCGCCTTCAAGTGGCGATCTACACTACTACTGCTCTCTAGAGGCAAACAAGGAAACAACACGGCGGTGCCCATAACATTCAGGAAGTTATGTTTTGTTATCATTGTAATATTTCACTGTTTGCGGAGTCAGGCAAAAAAGGCAGCCTTTGGTGAATTTACTTGACAGAGTCTGCTTTTGGGAATTAGATACGACAAACGATAGTCTAAAGTGAAAAATATTATGGGCAACAGTGAGCATGCTCTTCAGAAGACTTTTAAAAAATAGAGTGTCTTCAGTCAGAGGCTCCCCCAGATCCGGTGCAAGACAGACTGCTACAGATCCTCTCTGCCTACAGCTATCAACACCTGGAAATAAATAATCTGTAATTTACTGCAACATGTAATTTCCCTATGTGATTAATAAAGCATTTTTGAATTGAATATGTTTAGTTAACATTCACAACAATGGTGCTGAGGCATAAAGAGAAAATCAATGGTAATATTATGGGAATAATACTCTGAGCAGCAGGGAGGGATTCTGGGTTTGCAGTGTAAATAACCTATTTTCTACTAACAGCAATCCGTTTATTCAAACTTTTTTATACAGATTATCTCAATGAAACCCATTGTCCTATTGTGTATCGCTCAATGGGTAATAATGTTAGTATGATATCAGTTTAATCTGTTAATTGTTATCTAGTTTCTTTTTTGTATTTTTCAACTTGTGTTTTTCCTAAGCCTCTGAGGGAATTGATTACGGTGAGATATCAGAGGTGTGAGCAAGAACTGTCCGTTCAAATGCTGATTTGTCAGCCTGTTTATGAGTACACCTGCTTTTGGTTTGATTCTTTTCTCAGTGTTATACTTTTTATTTAAAAAACACCATTAATTGTTTCGTGACCATGACCCTGAAGATGGCCACCGTCCGGTTGTCTGTCATTAAAGTTATTTCCTAGTATTTTGGTTTTTCCTGTTAAACCTGCAGCCACAACTCAGACCTGAAACTATAAAAATAAATGATTAACAGCTTAATTATAAAGCTGACACATCTTCCTCACTTTGATGCTGTTGTCTGCGATTCTGCTTCAGTAGAGATTTTTTTTTTTCTGGTCCTTTAATGGAGTTAAATGTGTTTTTATTTTTACCTGATGAGTCTGTTAGCTCCATGCTGCTCTTTGGGCCACAATGATTAACATGTTTTACTGGTAGAAGCTGCTTAGCAGCGTGGCATGTGATCAATATAGTCAGTGTGGGTGCTCCATATAATAGCCATCTCTGTTATTTACACACAAGCTTTGGTCATAAAGGTCAAATCCTGAACTTCCTGCTTCCTGGGATGAGTTTGTATCAACAGAGAATGACTGCTACTGTCTGCAGCTGTTTGTGATTCTATTAACAGATATGATCAGTGTCACTTTAAATGACACATTTAAGCTAATGAGGAATTTAGACTAAAGTTTTATATCTACATTACCATATTCATGATGTAAGTTTGTAAAATGAGATATAATGTAAAATAAACTATTGATTTTTTTTTAAATTAGAGGCTTAAAGTAAATTTACATTTCTAAATAGTAAAAAATTTGAGAATAAGACAACATATATATTGTGAATTTCAAATGAACTCTAAATATATAAAAAATAAGATTATTCACCTTAAATGGAAAATGTTAAAATTTTTTGTAGTTTTGTCTTATTCTCTAATGTTCCTCCAGCAGAACACAGAGCTCTTACCCGTCATGTAATTAGTCCACTTGTATAAAATCCCCTCCATGACTTCCCCAAACATCGGCTGATGAAGCTGCCTGTTAGCTAGCAGCTAAAGCTGCTAACTGGCTAACGGTCGTTTACAAGCGGCGGTCTTCTAAAAATTAATGTGATTATTTCCTGAAAGGTGCTGCTGGACGGACACCTTAAGACCGACAGGTTGGGTTTGTTCGCAGCAGAACATCGTCTCAGCGAGCGGTCAGCTGATAATGGAAAGTATCAACAAAAACAGAAGCAGACCATCTACGGCAGCCTGTGAGGGACAGTTGCACAATCCTAAGCCTCATTAAGAATAATATGGCGATAAAAAGGCACTGGTTTTCCCGGTGGGCTGCGCAGGCTGCTTTAGTGAAAGTGAATGCTTGCTTATCTGAGGTGATTTGATCTGACTATAAATCCATTTGTTCAAAGAAGATCTTAGAGAGAACAGCTGGAGAACAGAGGGAATGAAGAGTGTGACACAGCTGGAAACCTTCAGACATACAAAATATGTCTACATTTTATAAGTAGCCAAACTTCGAGAATATGGATATGTATGGATACGGAAGAGGATTAGGGCCACTGGAAAAAAAAGTTAACAGATTTTTTTTTTTTTTTTATCAGTTTAGTATGGGAAAAAAGTCAGAATTCTGACAGAATTCTGATAATAAAAAAAGTCAGAATTCTGAGATTATAGTTAGAATTCTGAGAAATAAGTCAGAATTCTGACCTTTTTCTCATACTAAACTGAAATAAATTTTTAAAATCAGTAAACTTTTTTTTCCAGTGGCCCTAATCCTCTTCCGTATATGGATCAGACAGTATTAATAAAATGTAACTTTAAAAAAAAGAAAAAAACACACTAGTTTTAGAAAGACATGCAAAGTACTAATACAAAGTTTATATATTTAACATTTATATCATGATATTTTGTTCCATGTCATCATAAGCAGTACTCCAGTTGAGGCGGGATGGCATACACCTTCTTAACCCCCCCCTGCATTAGTCTCTAACCATGTAGGGGCATTGATAGCCATGCTAACTATGTAGGGGCAGTGATAGCCATGCTAACCATGTAGGGGCAGTGATAACCATGCTAACTATGTAGGGGCAGTGATAGCCATGCTAACTATGTAGGGGCAGTGATAGCCATGCTAACTATGTAGGGTCAGTGATAGCCATGCTAACTATGTAGGGGCAGTGATAGCCATGCTAACTATGTAGGGGCAGTGATAGCCATGCTAACTATGTAGGGGCAGTGATAGCCATGCTTACTATGTAGGGGCAGTGATAGCCATGCTAACTATGTAGGGGCAGTGATAGCCATGCTTACTATGTAGGGGCAGTGATAGCCGTGCTAACTATGTAGGGGCAGTGATAGCCATGCTAACCATGTAGGGGCAGTGATAGCCGTGCTAACTATGTAGGGACAGTGATAGCCATGCTTACTATGTAGGGGCAGTGATAGCCATGCTAACTATGTAGGGGCAGTGATAGCCATGCTAACTATGTAGGGGCAGTGATAGCCATGCTAACTATGTAGGGGCAGTGATAGCCATGCTTACTATGTAGGGGCAGTGATAGCCATGCTAACTATGTAGGGGCAGTGATAGCCATGCTTACTATGTAGGGGCAGTGATAGCCATGCTAACTATGTAGGGGCAGTGATAGCCATGCTAACTATGTAGGGGCAGTGATAGCCATGCTTACTATGTAGAGGCAGTGATAGCCATGCTAACTATGTAGGGGCAGTGATAGCCATGCTTACTATGTAGGGGCAGTGATAGCCATGCTAACTATGTAGGGGCAGTGATAGCCATGCTTACTATGTAGGGGCAGTGATAGCCATGCTAACTATGTAGGGGCAGTGATAGCCATGCTTACTATGTAGGGGCAGTGATAGCCATGCTTACTATGTAGGGGCAGTGATAGCCATGCTAACTATGTAGGGGCAGTGATAGCCATGCTTACTATGTAGGGGCAGTGATAGCCATGCTAACTATGTAGGGGCAGTGATAGCCATGCTAACTATGTAGGGGCAGTGATAGCCATGCTTACTATGTAGGGGCAGTGATAGCCATGCTTACTATGTAGGGGCAGTGATAGCCATGCTAACTATGTAGGGGCAGTGATAGCCATGCTTACTATGTAGGGGCAGTGATAGCCATGCTAACTATGTAGGGGCAGTGACAGCCATGCTAACTATGTAGGGGCAGTGATAGCCATGCTAACTATGTAGGGGCAGTGATAGCCATGCTAACTATGTAGGGGCAGTGATAGCCATGCTAACTATGTAGGGGCAGTGACAGCCATGCTAACTATGTAGGGGCAGTGATAGCCATGCTAACTATGTAGGGGCAGTGATAGCCATGCTAACTATGTAGGGGCAGTGATAGCCATGCCAGTCCAGTAACTGACTGACTGCAGTTCTACTGTAAGGTCAAGTCAATGACCGGCGTACCTGGCATTTAACAACCAGACCATGCATAGTGCTTTTGGTTAATAGACTATATTAATTACGCTATGTATGCTTCAATGAAGAAAAAAAATTCCACCATCCCCCTTCTTTTTTTTTTTACAAGTAGATTGCTGATCATAAGAGATAGTTTAGTACACACTGACCACCTCTGGTTAAGCATGTTATCAATGTATAATGTTGCCTGAATGAAAACCTGATTTAGAGCCAGTTTTAAAGTAATGAAAGTCAGGGTAGAAACCATTTTTGGAGCCAAAAATACAGAAAATTATAAATAATGTGAACTTTTATTGTGGCCTTACTTTAAATGGCTATTCTTAGCATTTTTTTTACTTTCAGTATGTAAACGCATGGTAAAAAACAATGCTGTAATCAAATAATCCAGTAAATAATCCTAGTTTTTCAATCACATTCTACCATCTACTCCTACCATGGAGTAAACTGCTTCATTTAACTCCATGCTTACGCTAGCAGCAGCTATGAGGGACAGTGCAGAGAGAGCACACTGAGGTGAGGGGCGGTACGGAGCAGCTCAGTGCTCAGAGGGGGGCAGAAAAGCAGAGTCAGCGCTCAAAGTGTCTTTCAAATGTTTGCAGGCAAAAATAGAATTCTCATATCCGCCACAATTTGGCCTTTGTCAATTAATGAGGCAGATGCCCAGAAAAGCCTAAATACTGTATGCCATACATCCTCAACTGCTGATTTTAAGCTTGGACCCAAAAATATCTGCTCAAATCTGCTTTATATTGTTTATTTTAAGGTTAAAATTATTGCCAGAAAATATCAGGGCTGTATCATTAACAGTTTGTCTGTTTCAGTGAAGAGGCCAAAGTGAGCTCCGTTCGCCCTGAAGGGCCTATTTTTGCCGTAGATCCTCATCTGCTGATTTGAAGCTTGGATTGAAAAAAATCTGCTTAAGTTAAAGTTTTCCAATGAAAAGCAGTTGATTACATCGAATCATTAACTCGAAGGCAATCCCTTGCAGAAGCATGCTTTTAGCGACAGTGGAGAAAAAAACTCCCTTTTAACAGGAAAAAACCACCAGAAGAACCAGGCTCAGCGTGAGCGGCCATCATCCCAGGCTGACCAGGGTTCAAGGAGACAGAAGCAGACATACAGAAATAAGCAGAGATACAAACGGAACTTGTCACCAAGCTCCACAGGAGGCCCCGTCCAAGAAAGACACAGCCAGGCAGATGAGCTCCAAGCCAGAGGATGAAAAGAGCGCATCCAATCAGTCCCCGTCAGAAAAACAGGACTACACTGAAAAACAGGCCAAGCTCAATCATCTATAAACAAAGGTGTTGATGGCAACAGCAAAGCTGATATGTCTCTTCAGGATGGAGTCACAGCCAAACAGGAACAGACCAGATGAAGCTACTATGAGAAACAGCAGAGAGAGTATATTTAACTAACAAATTGTACAGAGTGGGAGAACAGAGAAAGAATGGAGCAGAATGGTGAATAAGGGTCCCTATGTCCTCCAGCAGTCTAAGCCTATAGCAGCATAACTATAGAGATAGCTCAGGATAACCTGAGCCACTCTAACTATAAGCTTTATCAAAAAGGAAAGTTTTAAGCTTAGCCGTAGAAGAAGACAAGGTGTCTGCCTCACGGACTAAAACTGGTAGTTGGTTCCACAGGAGAGGAGCCTGATAACTAAAAGATCTGCCTCTCATTCTACTTTTAGAAATTCTAGGAACCACTTGTAAAACTGCAGACTTAGAGCGAAGTGCTCTGTTAGGAACGTAAGGAACAATCATATTCAGTTTATTTAGATCTCTGATGTAAGATGGAGCTTGGCCATTTAAGATTTTATATGTGAGAAGGAGGATTTTAAATTCTATACTGGATTTAACAGGAAGCCAGTGAAGGGAAGCTGTTAGGTTTCTGTTTCTGTTATGATTTTCTTTTTAGTATTCAGTCTTCCTGGTTTTCCATTTGTTGTCCTCTGCTGCCCTCTTGTGTCCTCTTTCCCTTGCTTTGTTTTCTGTTCTGCCCTCCCCTGTTTTCAATTCCCTCGTTAGCCCTCTCTTTGTCTCTGTCCCCTTTAAAAGCCCTCCCTCTTCAGTTCCTGTTTGCTGGATCCTCGTCAAAACATCTCTCTGTTTACCTCGTCTTTCCCTGGCTCCTAGAGTTTGGTTTCCCCTGATGTCTCCTTGGTTCTGGTTAGTGTTATTTTGTTGGATCTTTGATTCCTGCCTCCGAATCCGTAAACTTCAATAAACCCACCAAAATTCACCTCTGCCAACTTGCCTCTGCTTTTGGGTCCTCAATCTAACACCGCTTCATGACAGAAGCTCTATGTTTACATTCATAAAATGGCCAAAAATGAACACTATAAGCAGATTTCTTGATTACTATAAACTAATTATTCTACAGCATTTGTATAGAAATGATTCTGTCCCAAGCCCTTTGATCTATATAAGTGGTTGATTACTATATCCATGACCACTACACTATGGTAACGTTAAACTCAATGAAAAGATATGTACGTGCTTGACGGGGCCATGCTCTTATTTTGAGCTATGGGCAGGGTGTCCGTAGCTCAAAGTAAGAGGTTAAAAAGCCTCTCAGTGACCAGGCTACAGGGGTGGATGAGATTTTGCCTGAGTACCGTAAGAAGCAGCTCTGGATGTTTTGGACAATGTGTTAATGCGATTCTGCCCCTGGACTGGTAGACTGGGGTGGTGGTCCCCCTATTTAAATAGATGGACCAGAGGCTGTGTTCCAACAACTAAGGAATCGCACATTTAAGCCTCCCTGGTAAGGTCTATTCCAGGGTTCAAGAAAAAGAGAGTCCGTCAGATAGTCAAATCTCT